TAAATTCAGGACACATGCCAAAATGTTGACAATGGTTAACACTGAAGAGTTGCATTACCCAACCAACTGCCAGGGAGTTGATTCCAACTCATAGAGACCCTGTAAGACCGAGTAGAACTATCCTGGAGGGTTTCCAAAGCTGTAAATCTTTAGGGAAGCAGACTGCTTCATCTTTCTCCCACAGAGCAGTTGGTGGGTTTGAACCACTGATCTTTTGGTTAGCGGCTGAGGCCAACCACAGCACCACCAGAGCACCTTGAACGGTGGGACCAGGCAGGTATCAAAGAAGAAGGAAATCCCTGGATGGTGCAAATGGTTAAAGTGCTCAGTGGTAACAGAAAGGTTGGCGGTCCACGTCTACTGAGAAGCACCCCAGAAGAAAGGCCTAGTGATCTCCCCAAAAATCAACCATCGGAAACCCTACTGAACACAGCTCAACTCGGACACACGTGGGGCCTCAGTGACTCGGAGAGGATGCCACAGCGCTGGCTGGAAATGAGGATGACGCCTTTCTCTTCTACCTCATTCATTTCTAAATAGTCTGCATGTTTTAAAAAATGCATATATTATTATTATTATTGTACTTCAAAAAATTGAATGAAGCTTTCACTTTTTAGAAAATGTAGTAAATTGCCATTCAGTAGAAGTGGGAGTAGAGTAAGACAGAAACATGTTCCCTTGAGGGATGAGCTGGGAATCTGGTCCTCACTCTGGCACTGACCTTGACAAGCCACTTAAGCTCTTTCAACCTCAATTTACTCCTCCGAGAATATGAAGTCTGGGTTAGTTTTCTGAAAGTCTCAATAGAAAACTTAAAAGGGAAGTTATCATGAAAATTGAATTTTAATGAACAACATTCTTTAAAAAAAAAATGCTGAAAGCATAAATAATGCCATACAAAGCCGGGGGCCTAAATGAAATTATGTAAAGATGTAAGTGATGGTGCCAGCTCAAAGCAGGCACTCAAATTCATTTGTTTGTGTGCTCATGTTTTGAGAGAGAAAAAAGTTTGATCTTATTAAATAACAAGTTACTTAACAATCCGTATCCTTATATGTGTATGGACATATAATCACTAGCCTTTTAGGTTTAATAAGGAGTACTGGAGGGGCAGTGTGTAAGGCATTTGACAGCTAACCAGAAAGTTGGTAGTTTAAACCCACCAGCCGCTCTGTGGAAGGAAGACGGGGCAATCTACTTCTGTAAAGATTTATTGCCTTGGAAACACAATGAGGGTTGCTATGAGCCAGAATTGACTCGATGGCAGTGGATCTGAGTTTGCTTTGGGTTAGGCTTAATAAGGTGAACCCCAGAATCAGAAAATCTTAGAGTCAGAAGGGACTTAACATCATGAAAACTAAACTCCTCATAGAAAGGAGTCCTGTTATGTGTTCTCCTTTATCACTTCTTGTGTTGATGAACTCATGGTCTCCCAGCAGCTGTTGTGGCCAAGATGGCTTGTTCTTAAGAGTGAGCTGGAAGGGGCCTCCCTCCATCTTCCTCTAGATCTGTTGTTGGGAGCAATAGCCTGGCTTGCCTTAGGGAAGCCTGTCAGAAATCCCAAGAATAACTCAGTTCCCCTCGGTCTTTTCTCATCCTATCTACATCTTTCTATTTCCATCAACCATCCTTTACGAGTTTCTAGAAACACTGTGCCCCTCTTAAATCTCAGCTTGGAATTGAACTCAGAGTCCACGGGACCATCACCAACTTGGTTCTGGCCTCCATGCTTCTGCACTGTAACATAAGGTTGCTAAGCACCCCCTCCTTTTACCGCCACACACTTTGTTGGTTCATATTAAGTGTACATGGAATGAACGTCCCAGATCATTTTAACATTCACCACCGGCAAGCCAAGGCTCTCCCATTTTTTCTAAATTGTAAATGTTGAGCTTCACATTTATTCTTGTTAACTTTCATCATGATGTCTTCAGCCCATGCGGTTCCAACCTGTCGAAATCATTTTGAATGTTGATACTGACATCCATCATATTAGCGATCCCTCCCAGCTTTCTGTCATCTGCAAATGTGATTAGTATGCCTTCTATGTCTTCATCCAAGTTTCTGATGAAAACTCACTGTATTTTTCAAAAAGTCTTTTAATTTAATTGATTTTGGTCCAATTTTTGATAATTCTGTAAAACTATCTGCAGGCAGGAGAATCCAAGCTATGAGGTTCAACCTGATTCCGAAACAATACAATTAAAATAAGTATGTTTTGAAAAATTAAGCCAGGTCCCAAAGGTAGTATCGGCATGACCCAGATTCTGGCTCGGTTAATCTGCTGCTTTGGACAAAGCTGACAATGAAATTGGATGAATGTTTGTTGGTAAGCACGATGAGCCTCACCTAACGGACTGAACAGTGCAGAGCTAAGCAAACACATTGGATCAATTTTTCACTGTGGAGACAGTTCCCAGCTGGGACAACTCAAAGGGCTGGGGGAGGGTTTGCCACTCAATGACTCATCGGGCCAGCGAGACCAAGCATTGGATCATTTGGGGCCAAAAAGTCACTTTGGGGGCCTAAATTCTCTGGACTGACCATTAATAGCAATTTCAAAGGTCCTGGAACAAAGTTGGGTTCTGTGCTGTCGCTTTAGCCTAGGCTGCCTGGAGAAGCTTCATGAAATCAGACAAACTGCATAAGGAGAAGCCAGGGGTGCCTCCCAGAGGGCAGCCTTCGTTCCCAAATACTTCTCCAGCACCTTCCTTCACTGAAGCTCGAGAGGCAGTGAAGCTGTGCATTCAGCACAGACTTCAGGGTCCAACGTACATGGCCTTTAAGGAGCTCAGATGGCGCTGTGGTTAAGGCATTGGGCTGCTAATCAAAAGGTCAGCGGTTTGAACCCACCAGCTGCTCCATGGGAGAAAGAAGAGGCAGTCTGCTTCTGTGAAGATTCATAGCCTCGGAAATCCTATGGGGGTCACTATAAGTCAGAATCGACTTCATGGCAGAGGACACTTGGCCTCTGATCTCAGCTGTGATGCCTATAAAGCTGTAGACCATTTTGAATTCAGCCCTTCAGCCTTTCCCAGGTTCAATTTCCTCATCTGTGAAAGAACCTCATAATACTGACCTTCACGGTGCTGCTGTATGGTACCAGACACTCTCACCAGTTACACACAACACACAGCAGGGTAGCCAAGCTTGGTCACAGGATAACGTACACTGTGCTAAAGCTTTGACAAGCAGCATACTTCATCTTCACAAAACAACCCCAGGGGGCAGATCTGCTCATGATAATTTATTCCTGTTACCCCCAAACCAGAGATGAGGAAACTGAGGCAGTGAGAGCTTTATAATCACTTGTTCAAGGTCGCCCAGCTAGTAAATGATGGTGTTGGGATTGATTATTTTAATCTAGGCCTGCATGGTACCAAAAACCTAAGCCTTTAACCACTGCATTATTCTGTTACACTATTATTCCAGACTTGCCTCTAGTTAAGAGATACTACTTGTAATCAGAAGAAGAATCCTCAAGCTTCGGTGCTAAGGGTCTACTGTACTTCTCACACGCAGTGCTGTGATAAAGTGGGGGAAGGAGGCTTCAGAGCCTGGAATGAGGGTGTGAAGGAGGTAAAGTGTACCCCAGTCACTCCTTTGTGTCAACATTGCAACCTACAAGGAGGGCACATAGCACAGATACACTCACCAGCCACACTCTCTGCCAGCCATTCAACCTGAAGCTTGAAACGCTGATAAGCCTGGGAGAGCAAGCTAGTAGCAGCTGCCAAGCCCGGCCTCCCCCGGCAGCCTGGACAGGCCTGTCTCATTTGTGCGTAAACTGCGTTTCTACATTTCTAGTCTTGAAGCGGGAAGAACTACTGCCACATTCATGGCTGCTAAGAAGACAGAATGAGACAATACAGGCCACAGTGCCTAGCATCCTGCCTAGCACGTAGCAACTGCTCATTTGTGATCTACCCTTTCTCACCCTCTTCCACCAAGACCCTGCTTTACTAGAAGTTTCTTTTTCTAAGTCCTTTTAAAAATTGCCTTACAATAACATCATACAAGGACCCTAGTGGTGCAATGGTTCAGTGCTCAGCTGCAGACTGAAAGGTTGGCAGTTCAAACCCAGAAAGATGACAGCCACAAAAACCCTGTGGGGCAGTTCCACTCTGTCACATGGGTCACCAAGACTTGGAATCAACGCATTGGCACCCAACAACAACGTTTATACATTCGCTCAGAAAATCCTTTCCCATAGCTCTTCTATGTGTTATCCAAATCTTGGGAATTTGCAGCGTTCAAACTGATGCGATTCAAAAATACCTCATATGAAATCAAACACTAGTATTTGGGTGACTTAAATATGGACCCTGGGAATCCTTTACATTCTTTAAAACCCTTCACAACCACTGTTCTCGTATGACTGATGCTCGCAACCTCTCTGAGGAGAAACACTGCAATCATCTCCACGGTAAGTATGAGGAAGCCAAGGGTGGGAGGAAGGTGACACCGTCAGGAAGCAGCAGGGCCAGCTCATCATCCCAGGCCTCCTGCACCTCCCAGTATCAAGGGCAGCTCTTGCTCCTGTCCATCAATGGTCTAAACCCTCCAAATAAGCAGCAAGTCAATAAATGCTGATGCAACTGGGTAAACTGCCTAAGGATAACTCAACACTCACCAGGTGGTTTGATCAGAGTATGCAAAAAATGGTAGTTACTTTGTCTCCACCATGAAAGAAATGTACAAATTGAAATTCACCTGTGCAGACTGTCATTGGCACAACCACCAGGAATGCTGTGACAATGGGTATGACAGGTGCAACACTGTCCGGGTCACTTACTAAGGCACTGAGAGATCCAATCAAGCAAAAATGATTTGGTGCAATGGATGCACTGAGTTGCTAAATGAAAGAAGAAATACCAAAAGGTCTGAACACTGTCTAGCACACTGCCAGGCACAAAGTCATTCAATCAGCAATCGTTATTAGTATCACCAACAGAGAGCTCCTGATCAGTCGTTCAAAAGCAAGACATCACAAAACTTACCCTGGAATAATCAAGATCTCTGGGTGCCGAGTCTGTTAAAGCGCGGACAAGGGCGTTCATCATGCAGGTCGGAGGAGAGGGTGGGGAGGGCTGTGAGGGTTCCTGCTGTAACGGGCTCTTTGGTTTGGAAGGCAGCCGACCTCTCCTCCCTTTCAAACTATCTGTCCGGACAACTGATACCGAGAGAAAGAAGGGAAGAGATCTTCAACGACATCCAGGAATAGCCATAAAACCACAGAAAGGAGTCAAAACACATTACAGTTGAACAATCCGTAAGGAGACCAACAGTTTTGACCAACGGTGTAAGAGCGGCAGTAAGTTTCTAACGATAGTCACACAATGATTGAATGAGCTGACGGCATCATGGAAACCACCTCACACGTACCCTTGAATTGTTATGCATCAGCCTTAAGTAGAACACACATGTATCCTGCGTCTTAAATAGAACACATATGTATGTACATAAGCTTTCTGTTGATTTTGAAAAATTACCATCAGTCATTCTCGGTTCCTTTTCAATGCAAATATACAGTACAAAAATAAAATGTTGGAGGCACAAAGGAGCTGGGAAAGATATTCCAACAGAAATTCAGTTCTTCCCCTGGTGTGTGAGGATACGTGGAAGCCAACTATACCCTTACTCTGTACTCACCTTCTTTTACCATCCCGACGCTGAGACACTTCTGAAATCGACAGTACTGACAACGGTTCCGACGCCTCTTGTCTACTGGACAGTTTTTATTTGCCAGGCAAACGTACTTTGCATTTTTCTGCACTGTTCTCTGAGAAAATACAACACAGAGACAGTCAACGAACAGCTTCTGCAAAGAGGTGGGACCTGACAAGATGTATTTAAATTACAATGTGAAAAGCGACAGTGCAATTCCTATAATTAGATAAATTTAATTTCCTAACACGCTAGCCTGCAGGAAAAACAATTTTATTAGTGTTAGCTGCTGACAATGGGAATTATCTCCGATCGCTCTGAAGCAATTCTCAGGAGACAGCCAACTCTGAATGATAAAATCATATCTGAAATTACCAGGTCAACATATCATACCTTAAAGGATGGGATTATCTCCACCTCTAATATCCCTTTGGGAAAAATTTCCTACTTGTTCCACTCCCCTGATTATTGCTGACCTTATTAAAATAAAAATCCCAATGATCTGGGATGTATTTAGTTTGCTGTCATTATCATAAGCCAAAAATCACAGTCACTGCCTTTGTTAACCGATAGAGATGAAATCGTAAAAGGCAACATCATGGCCTGCCAAGTAAAACACACAGGAAATAATGTTTCAAGGCAGAAAGATATTCAACATGTGTACTATGTTTTATCCTTAAAAGAAATTATATGGTAAGCTGGCCATTCCTGACTCTGAAAGCAAAATCTTAAAATCTGATACTAAACCCACCCATCATCGCAACCAAGAAAGCAAACAAAGTGAAACGAAACAAAACAGGACAAAGGGAGAAAAAGAAGGAACTCTGACAGCCAGAGAGCTGGATATTTTCGATGAAAATTCCCACTAAGAGATCATTTCATAAATGACTATATAGCCATAGGCACCCACCCAGTGACACTGGGGAGACAAATCACAGTCTTGGACGGGAATATAAAATAACATATTTTTTGGAATCATATAGAATTTCAAAATGACACATGGAACTGAACATATTTTCTGCTCTAATTTTAAGAGAACCTTTGAATTTCTTGATTAACGGTGTTTGTGCAAATGGATGTATATTTACCACTTAGGGTAAAACTGTTCAGAAATTACCTGGGTCTCTATAACCCCAAATGGAGCAGAAAGTTGGTAATTATTTGGTAAACCTGGGCTGTATGAAAAAGAGAAATCCAGATAATTTGGGTTTGGTGTCTAAAATTCCAGACTCACTTTCACTCATCCTTAACCCCACATACCAGTTTTTATCCTATCACCTTTTAATTTCATTTTGGGGGAGAGTTTCTAAACTGCTTACATGAAATTTTAAAATCTAACAAAGCCAACATATTTCAAGCATAAGATACATTTCCCTGTTAGTTTAAAATGCAAAAATCCAAAACACAGACAGTTTTTAGAAGCATTTGAAACCTTAAGAACCTGTAAGAGTTAGAATTGCGTCTCCCAAATGAAGCTCTCTACCACTGAACACACGGTAATTTCTAAAATGACATTATCCTCAAGGCTCTATACCAATTTGAGTGTTGGTGACTTTCTGCTTCAGGTCTACATTTCCCCAATAACCCGAAACCTTCCCTGGACCGGTGTGGGCCTGCACAGTCTAAGGCCAGGGAGAGATCATTACGGTCCAATCACTGAACTCCCATCCTTAATTGCACTTCATGTCACATTTCTAAAGAATTCAATTTAATGGTAGAAAGCCACTGGGTAAGACCCGCTCCTGTTCCTTTAATTAACAGATCTCTGGGGTGGACTCCCCCATCCTACCCCGCCCTTTCAAGTATAGATTTGTTTTCAAGGGACTGCTGCTAAGGAAGGGAAGCTGCTGGGGAAACACTTAACTGACATTTCTGGACGAATGTATTACCACGCCTGTATTTTGGACAACTCTCAATTATTCGGGGGTGACTCTGCCTGTGGGTTATTCGTACTTCTCTGCATTATTTTTCTATACCCCCTCTCTGCTGCCCATTTCACTGCCCTTTAGCATTTTCTCTGTGATACTATGAAAATCCTATCTGCTGAAAGAATGCAGTTACTTCAAAGTGGCTTTCTAGGTAAGACTCTGGTAGTTAAGACAGACAAAAAGAAAAAAAAGTGGTGAAACTAAGGGGGTCTAGATTTAAAGCAGCACAACCCTGCACACCTGTATGGCACCTGACGTGTTGCAAAGTATTTCCATAAGCATTTTCTCCTTTATCTGAAGGATTCAATTAATCACATGACTGCTACTTCCAGATAAGAAATGACTGTCGCTTCCTGGTATATGTCCCCCCACGTTGGAATTTTTACAAATACTTGGGACTTCATTGATCAAGGAAGTGTGGTGTGTATGGCCCTTTAAAGATGATCAAGTGTTTTCCTGTATGTATTATCTCATTCAATATAGACCTTGTCTGAGGCACATTTTATTCACTCATAAGGAAACTGAGGCCTAAAAAGGAGTGTCACTGCCAAAGGCATATGGCTGGTAGGTGACAGATCCAGGACTCCGACTTGAGTCTTCTAATTCCAGCATGCTCCCGGGTATACCCTATTGGCCTCCTGAATCCTACTCAATCCGCATCCCACTTCCCCGTCTTTCCACTCTTCCCTGCACCGGACCAGGGAGTGGCTGGGTGTGGGCTTGCAGATGCCTGTGACAAAGGGAGTGAGGAGGGTGGCAGAGAATGACATGTCTGCAGATGTCCAAGAGCCAACAGGAAAAGGAAAAGCAGTAAGAGGACAAAGTTATTCCTCGTGAGCAAGGGGCCGGGCACTGAGCTCAGGACTCAAGTGAAACCAGCTGGAATTGCCTCCCGTGCAGCTGAAACCACCGCCCACACAGCCTGATACCAGAGTCTTCACCTCTCCAGGGTAGTGTCCTCATGGGGAAAATGAGGGTGAAGAGCCTCCTGCCTGTACACGCTTCTCAACACCTGGTGTTGTGTGTGGCACAGGGGTAAGGAAGGGCTCACAGAGCAAAGAGTGGGTTGGTGAGATCCCAACTCTACTGTCTATAGAGGGAGCTGTCCCCAACTGCATGTGGCTAGTGGCCGTTGTTTATCCTGCAGCGGCTAAGATGCAGGGGCTGGCGTTTTGCCTCCACCTCACTCCCTGGGTCTGTGTCCCGGGCCACCTGTAACCTCTCCCAGCCCCCATTCCTCAGCTAGGAAACAAGGATAATTAAAATCTACCTTCAAGACACTGTTAATAAAAATAGCGCACGGCCAGAAGTCAGCCCCAGGTCTGTCTAATTCTGGACAGGGGCTCTCACTGTGAGTATTGAGTAAGATATGAAATGTCCAGGGCCTGGCACACAGAGCCCGTCGCTGGACAGGTCACCCTGGGTAGACAAACTAGGAATGCAGTGAGTGTTTGGCACTGTTGAGAATCTGCTGAAAGCTCCCACGCTCAATGTCACGTCCATCCAGGGCGCCTGCTGACTTCAAGTTAAAAAGGCCCGAGACAATCAATGGCCGTGAAGGCGCTAGGAAGGCGACAGCGGTGCCCAGAGGGAAGGCCCAGGGCCACCCTGCAGCCACCCAGCCGCTCACTTGGGGAGGGGGCGCCGGGAGGGGCGCTCACCTTGAAGAAGCCCTTGCAGCCCTCGCAGGTGCGCACGCCGTAGTGCTGGCAGGCGGCGTTGTCCCCGCACACGGCGCACGTCCCCTCGCCCGACGACGAGCTCCGGTTGGGCGGCGACGGCAGGCTGGGGCTCTCGCCCAGCAGGCCCGACGCGGCGGGCGACGCGGCCAGGCCGAGCGGTGGGAAGGCCAGCGCCGCCGCCCTCTTGG